TATAATAGTTATAATACAAAGCATCACTTAACTTACTAAACTTAAATTTACATTTAGCCATTTCTTCTTATTTACACAGAAACTGTACATGAAAGTAACACAAGGCTTTTCTCTGATAGAAAATTTCTTTAAACTTTTACCCTTTGATATATTTCTGTTTCATTTGTAAAAAAAAAATGACTTATTGCAAAGCAAATACTGTATGACCCTGAAGAAGCTCAGAAAGCACCGAGTCTTATTTTGAAAGAATATTTGCAGGAAACAGGAAATTGAAACGTGTGTATGTGTATATATATATGCTGTATACAGTATATACAGTACAAGCAGCAGGGTTCTTAGATCCAACAAAAATACAAAAAGTAAATAAATCTAAAACCTTTTTTTTTTGCTTTTGTCATTACAAAATGTGACATGTTAGAGTAGAAAAAGGGTAAAGGCAGACAGTATGGATCAGTGGTCAGCACTGTTTCCTCACAGCAAGGAGGTCTTGGATTGGACCCCTGGTTTGGACCTGGGGTCTTTCTGTGTGGGTTCACATGTTCTCCTTCAAGTCCATGCAGACCTTGAAAAAGATGTCCTTGATCTCAATGAGAGGTGCCTGGCTAAGTGAAGGTGAATAAAACCAGATGGTCAAACGGCTGTCAGACCAGGACGTGGTGGCGTGTGTCTRATTAAAAAAGTCCTCTGAACAAACAGTGTTTGGAAACAAGGAAGGAAAAATAAGAAGAAAAAATTAGATTCATCATCGTGACCAAAAAAATCTTCTTAAATGAAAGAGTGCATTCTTTTTCTCATGCTTTTTGTTTGTTTGTTTTTTGTGGTTCAAAAACATCATGCTGGAAAAAGTGTTTTAAATAAAAATGTCCAACATTAAAGCCTATGTAACCTTCACTCTTGGTGCACTGACGAGTTAAAATCAGTGATGCTGAAGGAAACTGTCAGAAGATTCCTCCTCCTCAGTTCGTCACACGCAGTGGTCTCTAACGTTGTCACTGAGCTTTGCAGTGTTCAGATTTTTACACCGGTTGTCTTTGAGGCTGTATTCTGTCCGATGTGGCACCTTCACTGAACTGCTGCCCTTAAACATTAGGTCCCTGTTCTGGGCCTCGTCTATGGAGCACCTCTGAGTTGGATGTTTGTTCCTCATAGCCAGTGCCCACTCCTCATCTTCCTCCTGYGCTCCCTCACCACCCCATCCCTCCTCCTCATCTGCCCCGTCACACATCCTGTCAGCAGGGCCCATCAGTTTTCTGCATTCGTATGAAATGTCTTTGTCCCGATTTATCTTGTCATTATTGCTCTGCAACGGTTCCAGCTGGTTGTTCACCATGGTTTCCTCAGTTGGAACTGCTCTCTCACGCTCTTTCTTCCTTTTACGGGTCCACCAAACACAAACCACAATGCAGAACAGCCACAGGATACTGAAGACCACACCCAGCACAGGGACTACATAACCTGAAAGACACAGGTTCAGGACTGGTTACCACATCTCAAATATGAACCAAACATGTATTTTATTAAGGTTTGAATTAATCATATTTGATGGATTTTTTAAGTTTTCACAGACTTTAAACATAGACCCTCCCAAATATTATTTATGCAGAAATKGGGAGGGGTGGTGGGGTGGGGGGTTACTACAGTCCTCAACTAAGCTAATTTTGCCAAACTCCTGAGATCCTTTTTCATTCATTTCAGTGCCCAGAAGGAATGGTTTGATTTGGACCTTTGGACCACATGAAGACCAGTGATATTTGATTTACAACAGGCACCAGAAGACATCAGTGCTGTAAATAGTGTAATCAGGCAGTTGTATCACCAGCACTGGATGGACTCTGAAAGGGCTCAGGTTGTGGGTTCACAAGAGGCCAGGTGGWTGGGTCATGATCATGCCCAAGGTTGGAAATGGACTTTTTAAATCAACTTTCTTTCCAACCAGGATACTCACAGTTTTTTACAACATAATCTGTGCTCTCTGTCTCTCTCTCTCTCTCCGTCTCTCTCTCTCCGTCTCTCTCTCTCTCTCTCTCTCTCTGTCTCTCTCTCTCTCTCTCACACACACACACACAGGTTATTTTAATATCCCTGTGGGGACCGTGGATTGTCTTCCATTAATTTTCTGGTCATTTTATATCCTAACCCTGACCATTTACCCTAAAACTAACCTAAACTCAGTTCACATGGCCCTAAACCCAACCCCCCACCTGTAATTAGCATCTGTGCCTGTGGGGACTGGGCATTGGTCCCCACAATGCACATTTGGTCCCTACAAAGCTGTTTTTTCAGGAAAACRGTTCCCACAATGTAGCAAAAATATCCTCACACACAGTCTTTCAGCACTCTACACCTCTACAAATCTAATGTGAGTTCAGAGTCTTGCCCAGGGACACTTCCACATGTGAGTGAACAGTGGTGATGGGGTACATAAGGGTACCCACACACATTGTGAAGGATCTTCTCTAACAAAACAGACCACACTATAGGAGGATTGTTGTTTTTTGCACTTAACATGACAGAAGCTCAGGACATGTGCACCTGCTATCAGGACTCAGGTCCTGGACTGTTTCCAACACACCATCACATACCATGCCTGACCTGGCATCAGCCTARCTCCAGGTTGGTGTTCTATGGATTGCCATCAGCTGAGAGGATATCACTGCAGTTAATTTCATTTCTTTTTTTTTTTTTGGGGGGGGGGGTTGTACCCATAGGGTTTTTATTTATGAAGTACATAAAAAGCAACAGGGCCAACCAAAGTTCTGTCCAATAAAACAGACAAGTAAAATACCCAGGAGGAAATATCTAGACCAACAGAAATGATCAGATTGAGAGAAAGCATCTTGAGTTTTTATAAAAAAAATAGATTTACTCAAAATCTAAAAGGGCAAATATGTTGTTACAGGCTAAGAAGAATCATCACCACTCACCAACAGAGGAGCATTTCTCCTTAACGTCTATTTTAGCCTCCACCACCGCCTGCAGTACCGTGGTGTTGTGGCGTTCTAACAGCCTGTCAGTAAGGGCTCGGGCTGCTTTCTGAATCTTTGCACAGTCACTGTCCTTCGATCGTCCATCCTCCTCAAAAGACTGCAGAAACACAAACAGAACAATGAGCTTCATCTGCTTTTTCATGTTTTTCCATGTTTYACAGATTGATTGATTCTTTAAAATAAGACTTAAAGTGCCCGTGGCACACCTGATATACATTCCCACCTCCCTTCTCAGAGTAGAATCATCCACAGACCAAAACTCTGACTCATACAGGTAAGACAGAAAATGAAATAGGAGAGGCAAACCCTCTAAGAAGTGAGGCAGAACCCCTAACAGGTGGGGTAGACCCTCTAACACAGGGGTCCCCAAACTTTTCCCTGTAAGGGCCACATAACTTTTCCCTTCTCWGGTGGGGGGCGGAGTCAGTTTGTAACAGAAAAACTGTGACTRTTGCAGGAGKGCCTAAATGTAAAAAATTATTGTTTTCCAGAAAGCASAATSAAACAASCCTCTCTGGGTTCTTCACAGTMTGTATTCTGCTGAGCTAACAGAACATCTTTTAGCTCTGACAGGTTGTTTGTTCACATTTGGCCTTACAGGCTGTCATACTTGTGTTTGTGACAGGATTCATAGTGTCGCCTCAGATTATATTCTCTGAATACCACCGCCTGTTGACAGATGAACACACCAATAATGGTTTGTCCACTGCAGCTTAAATGTCCTGCATTCTGAATCAGTTTTTCTCTTTCCTAATATTTTCACCATTATTCTGTTC